AAACATGATAATGAAATACATTCTTTTAGTTTAGAAACATTTCTTGGTCCTTATCTACTCTCTGAAAAATTGACCACGTTTATGTAAAATTTATCAGAGATTTAAACTTCAAACTTAAATTTATTATAATATTGTCATCATCAACATTGGTCAGAAAATGACAATACCATAATTTTACTTAAACAAAAACGGACTACTTCTCTAATTAAATTTTCCCGTTGGTTCCAATTTAATTAGAGGATAAACATGATCACAATTTACTAAATATAACTGCTCTTCAAATTAAATTCTCCTATTGATTCAAATTTAATTAGAAGATAATAAACTTTAAACTTTGTAGCGGAAACATGAAAAAATTATTTATCTACTTTTCATAATCATTTTACTTTACTCATCTACTCTGGAAAAATTATCCATTTGGTTTAAATTTTGACAGAGATTCATAACTTGACAAAATTCATCAAAATTTGCTTCTGAAAATAATAAAACAAAAACTCTGCGTTTACTATTCATTCAGCCCGGCCTGCTTTCAGCCCGGTCCACCTCGCTTGCTCGCGCGCTGCGCCTTCGAGCCGCAACCTGGGCCTAGGCCGGCAAAGCCGCCCGCCCGCTCGCGCTCGCCTAGGCCGGCCTCCGGCCCGTGGCTTCTGTGTTGTAGATGCAGATCGGATGGCTGAGCACGATTTTGACAGAGATTCATAACTTGACAAAGTTCATTGAAATTTGCTTCTGAAAATAATAAAACAAAAACTCTGTGTTTACTATTCATTTGGCCCGACCTGCTTTCAACCCGGTCCACCTCGCTTGATCGCACGCTGCGCCTTCCTAGGCCGCAACCTGGGCCTGGGCCGGCAAAGCCGCCCGCCTAGGCCAGCCTCCGGCCTGTGGCTTATGTGCCGTCGATGCAGATCGGACGGCTGGCTAAGGCTTCGGAGGATAAAAAACGGTGACGGCACCATCCCCCAGAAAACCCTAGCCATTTGTTTCTTCCTCCCTCTCTCTCTCCCTCTCCCTCTCTGAGCGGTAGTCACCGATGAGGGCAAAGGGATGATGGAGCCGTCGCTGACGCGCGCGACTCCCCAGCGGGTGAGGGCACCACCATCGAGGGGCCTAGCGGCGGCGCCCTTGGCCAGAGCTCGCGCGCACTTGACGAGCGGCGGCTCATCCTTTTTCTCGCGCGCTGGCGGATACGATGACGCGGTCTGCTTCCCACGCTATGGCGGTGGTGTCTGTGGTGAAGGAGCCCTGGTAGGTACTCTCACCGCTCCGTCCTTCTTCTACTAGGGTTAGGTCTTAGGGTTCGGGTTTGGGCGGACCCACTGTTCATGTTCCCCGCCTACTCTACACGGGTTAGGGTTAGGGTTTGAGTTCATCTCAAAACCGAGACCCCTTTCTTCTTTTCTTCACTCGATTAGGGTTTAGAGTTCGTGTTCTTTTCTTCTGCTTAGATCTGAACCGGATCTCTCACCTCCTTCTAATTTCTGCTACCCCTACCAAAACTACACACTAGATCGATGGCTCTGATACCAATGTTAGGCGTCGCCAATGTTAGATGCTTAGGATTCATCTAGGTGTAGTACTGAGGGTGAATTGCTTACTGGTTGATTCAAATCGAGTAACAGTGAACTTGGGACAAGGAGGTAGAGAGAGTAAAGGGGCCATACCTTCGGGCTTGGCGGAGGAGGTAGAGGAGGAAGTAGCCACCATGGCAGCGGGTACGCAGTGTGGGTGGTGAAGTCCGGTGTAGTGGTGGCGATACAGAGACGACGGTGAAGTCGGTGATGACTTCCCATCGCTGGCAGCACCCCCTCACTAGATCGGTTATGTTTAGGGAATGGTCGGTGGGGCGCCTGGTAGCTCAGGGGAATCTCGTGCCTTGTGCCCCAGCCACCACTTCCCTTTTATGGTGCTGTGCGATGGGGGCCCACCAACGATGGAGCAGTTGGGCGCCCCCGATCAGGGCGCGGATCCAAGGGCCCAATTGGCCGTTGGGCCAATTGGTGGAGATCAAACTAACACCGAGATCTAGATCCCATTTCATGGACCTCCTCATCATTGTTATGGCCAAGGTGTTTGGTTGAATGCCAACGGGTTGGATTTGTATGGGATTAAACTCCAAGGACTCATTGAATTCATGAATCTCGCACATGATTATTGTGCATGAATGTGTAACTTTGAAATTACTTAAGACCTGCATTTGTTACCTTATGTAACAAACTGTTATTTACTACAAGATGTTCGGTGGTCCACCAATATTGCAGTTACATGTCATTGCACAATGTTTGGTGTATGATAGGTTTACATAATGACCTCATGTATGTTACTTTTTTCGAAACCATAGCTGGGCCTCAATGAATTATGGAATATTCATCTGATGATTCTAAGTGGTCTTTGAGGTTGTATGGAAAGAACACAAGATAGTTGTAACCGTTACCAAGACATGTTTTCTATTTTTACAACATGTATACTCTATTTAATTGTTACTCCACACGCGCAAGGGCGTGCGCATTATACTATAGTTTTTCCTTATGATTAAACAATGATGTGATCCTCCACAAAACATGGCCTTTTCATAGCTTGATTGGTATCTCGACTCAATGTAAGTACTCTCTTCTTCACCCCAGTTATGGTGCCTCGGTCTCCAAGCCATCACTTGCCTTTCACCTTCACTTAGTACCTTGAAACCATTTCCTTGCTATCTCCACTCTATCAAGCCATAGAGTCACATCTTGTCTTGGTTCAACTTTAAGCACACATTGAAAACTATTTCATTTGCATCGTTGTCTTCTACTTGAATGAGATTGTTTCATAAGTTTTCTTCTCAATAATGCACATATTGTCCACTCGTCTTCAACATTCTTGATTTGATCAAGCCATCTTCACGAGTGGGACCATCTCATATGCAATCACTTATGTCTCATCTTTCATTTAATATACATACTTGCCAACTTATCAATTATGAAACCCTATTTCAACATTGCACAATATGACCAAGATTCACATGAGAGACCAATTGATTTCCATCAAACCATATCCCTTTTGCTATTTTCATCACTTGCTTGTTACTTATGCATTTGTTCAATTAACCTTGGACTCATAAATCATTTATGTCATTTGCTTCAAAACCTTTTTTGGCACAACCTGTGGAGCAAAAGCTCCCTAGGAAAATAGAGACCAACACTACAACAGGGATAGCGAAGAGCTATCCCAAGGTAGGAGAGAAGGACGACTCACCTAGTTACAAGAACTAAAAGAAGAAAACAAGCTATGATAAAGAGTCGAGCCATAACATAATGGTCTAATGGAGGGTTTCTAGTAGCTGGCAAAAGTGAAGCTCAATTTCACTTGCAAAAGAGAAGTTTCCAAACAACAACTGATGTCCGCTTGTTGTTGAAGATATTCATTTCTTTCTTTCCAAATGCATCACACTGCAGTAATAAAGATTTCCATGAAGAAAGGCAGTCCCATGTGAGATAATGGTTGTGTGATCATTTGAAATAAGCTCCCTTGGATTATCCATTGCATATTCAATAGAAACAACTTGGTTATGCTGGAAGAACACTAAAAAAAGAGGTGTATGGCTGCTTCCTCAACACCCTCATGACACATGACATAGTTGTAGCCTTCCCGAAAAAAGCCATTCCTTCTCCTCAATATGCTTCTGGTGCTAGGGGTGCACTTTGATTTCCACAGCCAAAGAAAAGGAGCAGGCGTGAAAGAGAAGCAAAGTGTTGAGCATAAAACTAGTTAAATTTATAAAGTGAATTCCACATATACTTCCACTGATCATTTGGCAATTGTGCACCCCACAAAGAATTAAAAAGATCCTGCAGTTTCAAAAAATTCTTCATAATCAGGTCTAGACATTGGGAGCTTGAAAAGATCCAGCACATTTTCTACAGCCATAGCCCCTTTAAGTGACAAGTTGACATTCTTAGGATATGGCAAAAGATTAGGGAACAAGGCTATTAGTGCAACATCCAAGAAATAGTCAGGCATTTGCTTCAAAACTTGATCCCAATCATATCGATTTTACCTAGGACTCAATACCTATAATTCGCATGAAATACATTAGTCCCTTAATCATGTTGTCATCCAATCCACTAATAACCAATTAGGGCCTAGATGCATTTTTAGAATGCTACCCTTGTTCATCACTATTGTCTCTCATGGTTTTGACGATGGATCATGTGTTCCTGTTACTAAGAGGATCCAGCATATCAATATAATAATGTTATATATGTTTGATCATGAATAAAAAAACCAATAAAATTCAATAGTTCGATGAGAACCTGTCTAAGAAACGGGCCAATTGCTTAATGATCCAAGGTACATTGGTTTGAATTAGTACAATATAGCTATTAGAACTAAAATCATCAGTGCAAGTAGTATTAGTTACAACTCTTTTCTACCACCATACATGCCTCTTTTAAATGACTATACGAGATAGCTAAATGTTCATGAATTGAAAATATTAACAAACAAATGCTAAATATCACATGATATAGGCAGAGAACACATTTTCGCATGTGGTCTAACAAATAGGTTATTAGTTTAAGCATCAAACTCACCCTAGCTAGAAAACTTAAATACAGTAGTTTTCACAGCTATACACATATACTATCTAGCAACATATATGAACTAACAATGACCTTTACTAATTCTTTATTCTTGCAGCTGCAAAACTATCATTCTTTGAGAACTAAAATAATAGCATAAACTTGTATAGAGCACGAATAAAAGCTACATATGGATGTGAAGATCGATCCAGCCAACATGCCTGACATGCTTCAGGATTATTATGTTGGAGTGAGCTTCACCACGGAACTTTCTCACAAGTAACACATGTCAGACCTCGCGCGCTTAACATCAGTTGCTCCAAGACCTCAACATGGAGCCGATGTGATCGAGCTTGTTCTGGGCAGAAATTCTGCTTGAGTATCCCCTCAAGCTTGGATATCGGTGCAGTCGTGCAGAGATCAGTTTTATGGCTGGAAGCTTTAGTTCGGTGCCACCACATAAGCATCTAGGGCATGCCATTTTAAAACAGTCACATGAACTTGTACACCTGTTGACAAGATACTAATTCTGCAGCATAGCCAGATACAAGCTAGCAATCATTTGCAAATTGCAAACATAACCATCAAACTGTAAGCATCGATACGGTCAGGTTCTTGTACGGTGGTAAAGTACGTACAGTCGAGTCGTCCCAAGGGGGCACATTTGTAATCGTTTTCTTTTCTTTGTACCCTTGTAATATATTTCAGCAAATGTGTTGTCGACCTTTTGAAAAAAAAAACAGGTTCAATTGTAAGCGGGTGCATACTATTCTGGCTAGAGCATCGTCGTAGTCATCTACCAAACCATTTTGCACCAGATGTTTATAAACATTGATGGTTCAGATCAATATATTTGCACCTAGTATTGTTATGAACGACGTATAGGAATATGAAGTAAAGAATCAAGCCACAGAGGAGACACACGATTTAACGTGGAAAACCCCTCCGATGTGAAGGGAAAAACCACGGGCACCAGCCAGCAACAATCTCACTATCTCAAGAGTTTTGGGTTACACGCCTATGGCGGCTTATAAGAGAATCAAGTCTCCACAAAACCCTAGCAAGGGTGTACTCCGTCAGAAGCCCGGCCTATATCCTGGAGTGAATTTGGAACAACTCCAACAAACTTCACCTTGAGACAAATTCATCTTGTATCATAAATCAACCCTTCATCCTGAATATAACAAAGATAGAAAACCACTGGTGCCAACAATAGTCTCTTGGACTATCCAATTAAACCAACTAAGCTTGAGCACAGCTCAAACTTAACAACAGGAACAGGCTTTGTCATCGTATCAGCAGGATTATCATGAGTACTAATCTTGCATACCTTCAGCTTACCTTCTTCAATCACATCACGCACAAAATGATACTTGATATCTATGTGCTTAGTTCTCTCATGGAACATCTGATCTTTAGTAAGGTAAATTGCACTTTGGTATCACAAAGTGCAAACTTATGCAAGATTCAACTCCACAAAGCTCAGTACAAACCTTTCAGCCAAATTAATTCTTTGCACGCTTCACAAATAGCCATATATATTCGCTTCAGTAGTAGACAAAGCAACAATCGATCGTAAAGTAGCCCTCCAACTCACAAAGACAATCGCCAACAAAGTAAACACATAATCTGTAAGTGATCTTCACTGTCCGGATCATGAAACATAATCGAGAATCCACATAGCCAATAAGACCCTTATCGGTTCTTCCAAACTTTAAACAGAAATCTCTTTGTGCCTCCGAGGTACTGAAAATCCACCGAATCGCCTCCAATGTTCTTTGGCAGGATTAGACATATATCTACTAACAAGACTCATAGCATATGACAAATCTGGGACGAGAGCAAACCATGGCATACATCAAAGACCCAACAAACACTAGAATAAGGAACCCTTGACATGTATTCAATCTCGCAGATGTACTAGGACACCGAAAGCGGTGACAACTTAAAGTGAGGTGCAATAGGGTACTAACAGCCTTAGCATTTTGCATGTTGAAACATTTGAAGAACTTTCTTGATATAATTTTGTTGACTAAGAAATAACAAACCAGATTTTTCGTCTCTACTAATTTCCATACCAAGAATTTTCTTAGCACTACCAAGATCTTTCATATCAAAACCACTACTCAATAGCTTCTTTAACTTAATGATTTCAATCTTACTCTTGGCAGCAATCAGCATATCATCAACATATAACAGCAAATATATAGGTGATCCATTAACATGCTTGATGTAAACACAGCTATCATACTTAAATCTTTTAAAACTGTGTGCTAACATAAATGAATCAAACCTCTTGTTCCACTGATGAGGGGACTGTTTCAAACCATATAAGGATCTCTTCAACTAGCACACATATTTTTTCTTGTCAGGCACTATGAACCCTTCTGGTTGGTCCATGTATATGTCCTCCTCAAGCTCTCCATGCAAAAACGCAGTCTTCACATCTAACTGCTCAAGCTCAAGATCATGTGAAACAACAATACTAAGGAAAGTACGAATTGAACTGTGTTTTACCACTAGAGAGAACACATCATTGTAGTCAACACCCGGAATTTGACTGTAGCCTTTAGCAACTAACCTTGCCTTATACTTTGGAGGCTCGCTTGGAGATAAACCCTCCTTTCTCTTGAAGATCCATTTGCAGCTGATGGTCTTCTTATTCTTAGGCAAAGGTACAATCTCCCATATACTGTTCTTCTCAAGAGACTGCATCTCCTCATGCATAGCAGAAATCCAATTCTCAGTATCACCACAACGAATAGCTTCTTTATAGGTTGCTGGCTCATGAACATTCTCCACCTGTTCAGCACAACTCAAAGCATAGCAAGATAAATTACACTCTTCAATAAGACGCTTAGGAGGTGCAATTGTCCTTTTTGACTTGCGTTGAGCAATAGGTAAATCCTCCTCTAACTGCAAAATAGGAGGAGTTTGTTGAACATCATCATGAGCATCATCCTCAGCAACATCATTATCATGGTCACCATGCTCATCAACAGGCTCCACCTGCACACCTGTATCATCATCAACATGCTCCACCTGCATGCGCATACGCTGCAGCTCTTTTTCTGGAACATGATCCGAGGGCAACCGTCAATAAACATCACAGATTCATTGAAAACAACACTTACGCTCATAAAAGTCTTTCTGTTTCAGATTCCACAATTTATAGCCTTTGACTCCCGAACTATAACCAAGGAAAAGACACTTAATAGCTCTAGGCTCTAATTTTCCATTATCAACATGAGCATAAGCGGTGCATCCAAAAACTTTCAACTGTGAATAATCGTGAGCGCACTGCAGACCATACCTCAATAGGAGTTCTTTTATTTAGTGGAATAGAAGGCGACTGTTTATCAAGTAACAGCAGGTATTAGCGACTTCAGCCCAAAAATGCTTGCTCATCCCGGCATTAGGCGTAATGCAACGGCCTTGGACATGATGGTTCGTTTCATGCGTTCGCCAGCCACCATTCATTGTGGAGTATGGGGTATGGTGTGATGCCTAACAATGCCTTCCGATCTGCAATAATCATTAAATTCACGCGAACAAAATTCTCCACCATTATCGATCGAAGCAATTTTACCTTCCTTTTAGTTTGCCTTTCTATCATTACTTTTCTAGTCCTTAAAAGCAAAGCAAAAGTATCATCTTTCTGCATTTTCGGAAAATAAGGCCAAACCCTTCTAGAGTAATCATCAATAATTGTAAGCATGTAACGAGCACCACCAAGTGAGGACTTACGGGAAGGGCCCCATAAATCAGCATGAACATAATCAAGAGTACCTTTAGTGGTGTGAACAGAAGTGTTGAAATGTACCCTTTTATGCTTCCCGAAAATACAATGCTCACAAAACTTTATTTTACTCAAAGTGCAGCCATCCAGCAGGTTTCTCTTCATCAATTCTGCCATACCATGGTGACTCATATGTCCCAAACGCATATACCAAAGGTTAGTTTTACTAGGTTCATCATTAGTAACAGCAGCAACAGCGGAATCAGAACCATGTAAAGTATACCCTCTAAGGACATATAACTTTGCAGAATTAAGATCACCTTTCAAGCAAACAAGAGAACATTTTGATACCTTTAGAACGCCATCTGAACCGGAATATTTGTAACCTTCTGCATCAAGCGTGCTCAATGAGATAAGATTTCTGGACATCCCTGGTATATACCTGACGTTTTTCAGCGTGCGTGTCATGCCATCATCAGTTTTGATCTGAACTGATCCAATCCCCACAATGTCACACGGGTTATCATCTCCCATCCGCACAACATCCCCTTTCTGCACAGGCTTATACAAGCTAAACCAATTTCTGTTAGTGCAAATATGAAATGAACATGCGGAATCGAGAATCCATTCATCATGACTAGCAACACAACCAGCAAATACTACCAGACAATCTCCAGAATCATCATCAGACGCAGCAGCAGCAACAGAGACCTTACCAGCCGACTTGTTTTTCCTCTTCTCCTTATTCTGTACTTTTCTGCAATCCTCAACATTATGATTTGTCAGCTTGCAATAAACACAGAACTTTTTATTACCATGCGGCTTGGACTTTGAACGGCCTCTCCTTTCGTAGTTCTTTCTTCCATCATTGCCATCATTGGAGGATCTGTTTTCAGTTCTGCCTCTCACATGCAAAGCATCGCCCTTGGAGGACGACGTCCCGTCATTCTGCACCATGCCTCTCATCTTCTCCCTAGACTGGAGAGCCTCATAAACTTCCTTTAGGGTTAGTTCATCACGGCTCAAAAGTATGGTGTCACGAAAATTTGCATACGAATTTGGCAAAGAACATAGCAGTAAAAGACCTAAGTCCTCATCATCATACTTCACCTCCATCGACACTAGGTCGGCGACGATCTTCTTGAATTCAGCGATGTGGCTCATCACTGAATCCTCCTCCTTCATCTTCAGGGTGAACAGCTTCATCTTCATCTGCATCTTACTGGTTAGATCCTTGGACATACAGATCGATTCCAGTTTCAGCCATAGTTCTGCAGCAGTTTTCTCTTTCAGACACTCCTGCAAAATATCATTATGAAGATGCAACTGAATTAGGGCGAGCGCCTTCTGATCCTTGCGGATCTCTTCTGGAGTCCACTCGGCCTTCCTCTTTCCGAAACTATCCAGCGCCTCATCATAGTCATGAGTCTGCGCCAGAATCCCCCGCATCTTGACTTGCCATAGCGAGAACCGCGTGTCGTAGTTCAGCAGCGGAAGATCGAACTTCATCGACGTCGTCATGAACCCTAACAGCAACCAAAGCTCTGGTACCACTTGTTATGAACGACGTATAGGAATATGAAGTAAAGAATCAAGCCACAGAGGAGACACACGATTTAACATGGAAAACCCCTCCGATGTGAAGGGGAAAAACCACGGGCACCAGCCAGCTAACAATCTCACTATCTCAAGAGTTTTGGGTTACACGCCTATGGCGGCTTACAAGAGAATCAAGTCTCCACGAAACCCTAGCAAGGGTGTACTCCGTCAGAAGCCCGGCCTATATCCTGGAGTGAATTTGGAACAACTCCAACAAGTATAACGTGGCACAAATTACTGTAATTAAGCACCAACTATCATGGAACATTGTAGATGCTCAAGAGTCAAGCTTGACAACATTCGAACAAATTGAAATGATATATGCTGACTTCAAATATAGCACACACTAGACCATTTTGCATTAACTTAGCGATAAAAGTTTGATCTTACAATGCAAAACAGTTTGAGAATATCTCTCAAAAGAACAAATACTCCAAGCAACAATAACAAGAAACAACAAAGACTATGGCGTTCTTTGATAACTCTGACAAGGCACCAGTTCAGTTTCCTTTACTTTATATATGCCTGAGCTCGTCATCATGCATATGTAGGCCTGACTTTCAGTGGGAGTAGCAGTCAACAGTGCATCCTGATGATGCAGATAATTTGCAGAGTTTGTGGAAAAACCTTCTTGTTGGATTGGCACCCAAAGAGAATAGTATAGAAACCTTGCGGAGGCGCTTTGCATTTCTCATAATGTAGTATATAAAACTCCTCTCATCTTGTGTGGCCCTAAACTCATACATTGCCACGCATTCTAGAGAGTCTAAGTTGATGGCCTTGTCTGTCCAGACTGATAGTTGACGACAGCTGCAGTTAGAAGCGCATGGGATGTACCCAACCTGAAGCAATAAAGTTAGAACAATAATCTAATTAATACCTGAATTGGCTTTGATAGGCACAGTCATGTGAACAAAAGAGGAGCAAAGTAGATAATCATAAGAGAGTCATACATACCTCCCTACCGAACATCTGAAGTGTCACCTTTTTCACGCAACTACATTTCCTGAGAAGGTTTAGAATTGTTGGGCCAAACCTGTGCCTAGTGTGGTTCACCATGAACTCCAACTCTGAATAACAAGGAAGGTTTACATTCTCTATAAGACTCTCTTGATCTGTACGATCCTGCAAAGAGGTACCAAGCAATAATCTTTATTAGACACATTGTTTAGCTCTACCATACATACATCTTAATTGATTAAAATCGATTGAGTAAGTTTTTTCTTACAGATCATCATTGTCACCATCAAGGTACAATGATCAAGCAGAGGCGATGTATGTATAAAGTAAATTTTTCTTTTCTAAATAGCTTCGCATTTCATATATATAGTACATAAATTACTAGGGCTACTGCAAAGTGCAAACTTATATACGTACCTGTGAAGTAGGGAATTCGAGGCGAAGAGTATCAACACACTTGAAAAGCTGCAGGATCCTTGCAAAATTAGACCTGCCTCCAGCGCCAAACAGATAACTGAGCTCGAGCTCGGCAACGACGAGCCTCTGGAGGCAGCTAGGTAGCATCCAGTGTTGAATCACCTCGGGGCAGCGGTCTTGCCAAAGGAGCTGTTCCAACGCCGGCACGGAGAGGAACATGAAGGCTCGGGTGATGCTTAGCACAAAACACTTGTCCACCAGCATGTGGCGGAGGTTTTCGGCCGCCACCAGGAGTTGCTCCAGCACCAGGATTCTGGACAGGACCATGCTCACCAGTGACTGTGCGAAGACGGTGAGCCTCCTCAGGCCGCCAATCCTGTGCAGCTCCAGCCTCTCGATGCACGGGCAGCACAGCGACACGACTTGGCTGATTTCCTCGCCGCCGTCCGTGAACCGGACGCCAGAGATGAACAGCTTGGTCAGCTTGGCAAACGTGTCTGTGGTCGGCATGCCGAGGTCCACGCCCATGAAGGTGATGGAGAGCTCCGTCACCCTCGGGAAGCACGGCAACTGGAGCGTCATCGCCTCCTCCTCCTCCTCGTCATCCTCCGGGTCCGGGAACAGGTTTTTGAGGAATTCCTCCGGGTACACGGTGACTGTGGCAGGGGACAGGTAGAGGCCGAACCTGCCGGAGATGCGCTGAGCGGCGAGGTCGGCCAAGGTGGAGACGAAGCTGATGGGGTTGTCGCCGACGCTGTCGCGGCGGTAGACCGAGACGAACAGGTCCCCCATGTCAACGTCGTCGGCGTACCCGCGGAGGACGCCGTCGATGAGGTCCGGGAAGCGCGACACTCGGGGCGCCTGCACGTCGTCGAAGAAGAGCAGCGGGAGGCGCGTCCAGACGCCGCGCCAGTGGCGGGAGAGCACGCAGGTGCGGACAGCGTCGACCAGGGGCACCAGCACCAGGATCTGATGGAGTATACTGTCCGGGAGCGCGCTGATCCGATCCCGACTATCTCCCGGTTTGCCGTCGCCGGAACGGGAGACTCTTACTCTACCATTGCGAGCCATGGCGGTCGATGTAGCTACTAGGAGGGATCAGAAGCAGGGAAGCTTCTAGGGTTTCGTGGCGGCTGGTTGCTGCTGTGAGGATCGGAGGAGGGGGAGATCACAGGGATTTTGTAGCGGAGGCGTCCGAGCAGAAATGGTATGGTCTGACTCTGAACAGCCGGCTCACGTAAGGTCAAGCTGGGGAATGAGTTGGCGGGAACGCGCGCACGGCCAGCATATAGCATCAGGAGCCGTTAGGTTCATCGAAGAGACGTCCGTTCTGAGATGCACGGCTGGCGTTCGTCAGTTCTGCATCCAACTGTACGCGCGTATCTCTTGAGACGAAAATGCGGGTGGTGTGAACGGGAAGTGTTTTTTGTGCAGCGAGCAACTAGCCTACTACACATTCATACACATAGTTGTCTCTCTTTTCCCCCCCTACCGGTAGGGCTCTGCACGCCTTTACTATTACTGTATTAGTATAGTATATAGGAGAGAGTTACTCACAGCACAAAATAGGTGAAATAGGCGCTCAGCTTGATCCTCGATAAGATCTCACTCAATCGTTTAGCATCCGATGTGCACCTGCCAAAGTCTCGCTTCATCTTTTTTCTTTTTTTTTTTTTTGATAAGCATGGGGTGTAAGGACAAAGACACACCTAGCATGGGCCATATATAATTTTGGTGGTTGATTGACAACACGATCAAATTGACTAATGTGGTTTGCTAGTATACAAGATTTTAGTACATTTGGATACAAGAATGGCTTGAACAAAGGCAACGTAAATGTCAAGTGATCAACACCTCAAGGAAGACAATAATGGAGCTATCCCAAGGTAGGAGAGGACTCACCTAGTTACAAGAACTAAAAGAAGAAAACAAGCTATTACAAAGAGTCAAATCCATAACATAATGGTCTGATGGAGGTACGTTTCTGGCAGCCGGCAAAAGTGAAGCTTAACTTCACTTGCAAAGAGGAGTTTCCAAACAATGACAACTGGTGACTGCTTGTTGATGAAGATATAGTCATTTCTTTCTTCCCAAATGCATCACGCTGTAATCATAAAGGTTTCCATGAAGAAAGGCACTCCCATGCAAGATTTCTGTTGTGTAATCATCTGAAATAAGCTTTCTTGGATTGTCCATTGCATATTCAACACAATTACACAAATCCCCTAGTTATGCAGGAAGAACACTAAAAAAACAGAGGTGCATGGCTGTTTCCTCAACACCCTCATTACACATGACACAGTTGTAGACTCCCTGCAAAAAATTCGTTCCTTCTCCTTGATATGTTTCTGGTGTTCAATCGATCACTAAAGAGGAGCCACATAAAGAGCTTGATTCTAGGGGTATACTTTGATTTCCACAGCCAAAGAAATGGAGCAGGCATGAAAGAGAAGCAAAGTGGTGAGCATAAAACTAGTTAAATTTATGAAGTGAATTCCACATATACTTCCACTGATCATTTGGCAATTGTGCACCCCGTAAAGAATTCAAAAGATCCCGTGGTTTCAAAAATTCTTCATAAGCAGGTCATTGGGAGCTTGAAAAGATCCAGCACATTTTCTGCCGCCGTAGCTTCTTTGAGTGACAAGTTGATATTCTTAGCATAAGGGAAAATATTTGGGAACAAGGCTATTATTAGTGCAACATCCAAGAAAGCAGTTAGGCATTTGCTTAAAAACTTGAGCTCAATCATATTGTCGGTGTCTGATGACCGTCAACACGTTACGGGGGCACCCGGAATGATGTTAGGTGGCTTCGGCGTATGCCAAACTTTTTTTGAAACATAATGACAGGAGCTCTTCCTTTCAAACAATAAGAATAGAATTGACCTAGTTTATAAGGAAAACAAAGGCCTAAAAACCTTACATACGTACGGATTAATACATAGAAAAAACCCACGACAACCCACTTACACAGAGAGGTAACTCACAAACCAATGGTGCCCACCGCATGTCGTCATTGCCGAGCTTATCACAAGCAACAAGGAGCAGCTCCGTCTTCCCCAGTAAACACTCCAAAGGCCCGAGTCTCGACTCGCGTCGTCGTTTAATCCCCTCTATATAACAACTTGGCCTCACATGGCGTGAACAAGTCCTCGATAAGCGTGGATCGTGCAAGGAAACATTACGTCATGATCTACCCTAACATGTTTGGCCCGTCGAGGCCACTGAGTGCTACCAACACCTTGCTGACAAGGTCAGACAGTGGACCTTTAAAGAGGTTGACGTAGCGCAGCAAGGTCATCTCCAGAGTTTTGCCTTCTTCCTATGTGACGCCTAGTCGCTTCATGAGCACTTGCCTCGCTTTGCTCTGCGCGTCACCGCCCAAGCAATGGCTGCTAGACGCGTGCTGCACCGGGACGGCTTGCCCGGCCTCTTCTTCTAAACCTGCCCCTACACCATAGAAGTATGGTTCTTCGTCTGCCAGGCACTAAGGCGGCAACTTCCTCAACCAGCGCAACCCGTCATAGCATGGTGGCGGAGTCTGCGATCACCGTGGAGTGACGACCAATGAGCCGGGATAGACTCCTTATTCGCCTTGGTCTCCTGGGAAGTCTGGAAAGAGCGCAACGCTCGCTGCTTCAGAAATGAATTAGCTACGCCTCTCAATCTCATAGCCATCATAAGAGCAGAGGTAGAGCGATGGATTGCGGCCGGCGCAATGGCTTGTCTACCTTCTAGGACGCTAGATAAAACGTGCATTCTAGCTGAACCTGTCGCAATTCTCATATGTAATCGCCTTTCCAGCCTTGCCGACCCTTATAGGCCTTCCTTTCTTGTATTATAAACTCTATTATCTTAATGAAAATGAAACACAATTCTCTTGCATTTTGGAGAAAAAAGAACAACGTAGAGCATGGTTTTTACAAAAAATGAAACTGACTTCCTATTTTTCTAAGTTATAACAATTTTTCTAATATTAAAGGTGTGTTAGGTAGGATCCAAATTCTTCTAGAAATGTTTTACATCAAGACTTTCTATAGAAATATTTTTCTGCTGAATCAGAATTATTTCGTGAAATCATTTGGCTAACGCTTATAAATTGGACTCACTCAATGATTGAGGGAGGTTAGACAGACTTTTTTTTTCCAATAATAAATGCAAAGACTAGGATGCAGATATCGCGTGACCCCACTTTTCCGTAAGCGATGCCCCAGCATGCAATTAAAACCGCCCGCAATTTTCTCTTTTTCAACCTGTAGACGCAAGTGAAATGTCCTTTCATGCTGATGTAACCTCAAAAATGCGAAATATTTAATTTAAATTGGTATAAGTTTTGAATGGTGTATCCGTTTTCAATTCCGTCTAGACCGGTGTGTTCTATGTGACGAGACGAACAAAACGAGCCCCCACTTGCATATGTTTCGAAGAATTTTATTTTAGTAGTAATTTATATATAATATGAGCTAGAGATTTATTAAAGTTACTGCCATATAATACTAAAGTTGCTACTAACGAAATATACTAAAATTATCACATAGTATACACAAGCTCGGGGCAAAAAATATCAAAAAAAATTACTACCATGTAATACTAAAGTTGGTACTCCAAAAATATATTAAATTTGTTACATAGTATGCACATCAATTGTTAATATGGGAATATAATGAATATAAAAAAAGTTACTATCATGTAATACTAAAGTTGTTACTCAAAAAATATACTAAAGTTGTAACATAATATGCACAAGCTGGGGGTTAAAAAATATCAAATGAGTAACTACCATGTAATACTATAGTTGTACAACTTGAGGGGCAAATTATTAAAATAAGTATTACATAAGCTGCCAACTTGGAGTTAAGTTATTATACAACACCTTACAAAAGCCAGAAAACATGACTCGCTATCAACTGGGGGCATTTATTAAAAAACATGAGTAGCAGCACAAATCAAGACAAGCTGCAACATGGGGCAATTTATTACAACAAGCACTACATAAGCTGCTAATTGGAGAGGGGAAGTTGGCATTTATTAAAAGAGAGAGTAGCGGCAGAAAACAAGACAAACTACAACCTAAGGGACAAATTATTAAAATAAACATTGCATAAGCTGCCAACACTACACCACAACACCAAGATTAGCAATGGACGGTCTGACGCTAAAAGCGGCTACAGCGACAGACAATCTGACGCTAAAAAGTTATAGCGTCAGACTTCTGCAGACGCTGTAAGTCCTGTCGCTAAAAATCTTTAGCGTCAGACAGTACTTTTAGCGTCAGACAGTCTGCTGCCCTGAATATTTATAGCGACAGATAGTCCATTGCTACTTTTTAGCGACAGATAGTCCATTGCTACTTTTTAGCGACAGATAGTCCATTGCTGCGATGGTACATATGGTTTTAGCGACAGACAGTCCAATGAGACAATTTTAAATGGTTAAAAAAATAAAAATTAATCCATCAACAATTATCCACAATAATACAAATGTCACTACACAACTAAGAACAAACATACACTAGTGAATGGTGCGCGCCATCGTGCGCCTACACATATATATGTATATTACACATGCTGATGTTTCCAAAGAGCTTATGCATATTTATATTACACATGGTACTTATGGTACTACTTGTTTTACTTGTAGCTAAAGTAATACAGTTTAGAGTACTGATGCTGCGGATATTGTCCTTGGAGGTTTAGGGAGGAGAGGTGACCTGTTCTCAAGTGGCAAATTGTGTATATAACCTCTTTTCCTGGCAGCAGCACAGAAGAAGTACTTCGAGTCCACAGACTCCGGCTAAATATCATACAAGAATCTTGATATGATAGTCCAAACACCTTTTGGAGCAAGAGCAACATTCTCGTAGTAGAAGTATGATGGACCCATAGCTTGTGAAGGTAGATCTCTGTTCACTGGTCTTGGCCACTGATCTGGCAAGCTAAATCCAACCATTGGATTTGGGAGCGGCATGGGTTCATCAGCGCTACCATCTAATGGGCCTCTACTTCCCTGTGCTTGACCTCCATATCTCTTTCTCTTTTTTTCCCATCCATGAACCTTCCCTTGTTTATCCCTCCATAGGAATTATCCTGCAGTATTGCAAACACAGTTCCATTATCAGACCATTAAATTAGAACTAAATCTTATTGCAGACTTATATGGACAGTTCACCTAAGACGAACCTCATAGTCAGACAAATTGCCACAGTAACCATCTCCTGCGGTCTGTGAAGCATATATTGAATCCACCAGAACATAAATAGATGCATCCAGCCCTGAGTAATTTTAAACCACAGACGACAGTGCATGATCAGTGAACAGGGGCATTTGGAGCATACTTTGACAAGTTCGAATAATAAAACTCTGAAGATAAGTTAAAATAAAACAGGGACAAGGACAGAATCTGAGTGGTACAAGTTGCATGAAAATGCAAAAACAGTTTTATTTGACAGCAAGAATCAACCATTCCAAGTTATCTCAGTTCAAGATTGCAGCCAATTTACGAGTTCCAACATAAAGTATTTGAGGAAAATTCTCAAAATCCAGAGATAAACCAATAGAAAGTTTGACATAAAATTAAAAATGGCAATGTTATTATTCAACTGATTTATTCTATAGTAGTTCAGAGAGCAAACAGACGTCAAGTAATAGCCAGTGCAGAGTCGTCTTCAGAAAACTGATTTAGAAAGGTTCTATAGTAGACGAGACTGATTTATTCTATAGTAGTTCAGAGAGCAAACTGAACAGTTCTATAGTAGTTCAGAGAGCAAATAGTAGTTCACTCACCTAAATGTCGTCAAGAAATAGACGTTCACTGCTGCTAGGAAGCATATTTTCCTGTCACCGAGAACACAAGCAATCACGTATACGCTCTCCAAAAACCTGCTCCTTTGTACACCCCAGTAGGTGTCGAAGACAGAGGTTAATGCCGGAGGCATGCTCTTCCAACTTTGGTGCGTGTAGGGGCTGGAACAGGAACGTTCGAGAGCCGCGAGGCTCAGGCTCCTACCTTATCTTGTGCACCAGTGGAGTCCTATTGGACAAGGGAAATGCAGTTGGCCACCGCGATGATTACTCCAGATTAACATATGGAGTAATCTCGATCACCAGTAACTACTCGTTTGATTGCTCCATCGAACGATAAAAGAGAAGCACAGGTAAGTCACTATTTGAACTAAGTCTCGAAAAGCATCAAAATTTGCACAAATTCGTCGGCAGCGTCAATCATCTAAAATCTTACCCGGCCAGAAGTGCACGTATGTTTGCCATCTTCCCAAGCAAAACCTCCGCAGCAAATGATCCTTGGTAGAATGTGTCACAAAACAAAAAGGGGCAGCAAAGAGGGGTGGTTTTCAGTTGGGCACGAAAAATATTTTGTGGAATACTACAATCTCTAATAGGGCCACGCATGGATGGGCGGATTGGAACATTAGTGGCAACAAACACTACGGTGCCACACAAATCCACACCGAAACAATAAATCTAAATGGAGAGGAAGGAGGTTCCAAATTTGACCCGGAACGGAACCAATCTCGTGCTTCCAACAAAGGAATCCGTCCCCCCATTCAAGCGAGCCAGGACTACCAGGAAGGAAGAGATCGCTACTCACCGGGAGTAAAATGGGTGTGGCATACCTGGTACTTTGTGGGGTTCAGCTGTGATGTTTCGCTCATCCACGAGATGGCTTCACATCTTCCCTTTCTGATCTGTGTTCCAATGACCCACATACTGCACTTACAAATTAAATTTCATGGTCAGGTACCACAAAAAAAACAGACACAACACGTGAGTATGCATTCACCTGCATGTTATACCTCTTCTTCATATGAAGAAAGATGTAGGCAAGATCAGCTGATTGTTTTCAGCTTCCAAGGCATCTGCTTGATCAGACCATAGAAGGAGAAAAAAAGCATAAATAAATTATAGAAGCGGCATGCAGTCTATCAGGAGCATCCATAAGCAAATAGATCTGTTCTATTGCAAGGAAAGGGTTGGGCATTTATCCATGTCACCCATGATGTCACCTGAACACTAAACAGCCTCAAGAACAAACTCAATGGAACAACATTTTTAGATGAAAGATATAATAACAGCAGCATACCTGATCCTTTGCGTTCAGGGTAAACGTTGTTCATGTGTTGGATTATTGCAGGGCTTAGCTGTCTTGTGATTGTTCTCACTCCAGCAGCACGACAAGGTCGTGGTGCCTCACTATTGCATCCTTTCCTAAAGGTAAAACAAACAGGGAACGGTGAGATCCAGACAAACAAATTGAAAAGCAAAGGCAGTAGGACATATTTGGTCACAGTGAAGTAAGCACAAGTAAAGTACTAACCCAAACAAACTTGCAGTTTCATCTGAGGCCGCACGGCAAGGATTGCATTGAATGGACTACAGTCTTTCAGATTTAATTGCGGCTATGTCACTTACTATTGTTGTGGTTTTCAACAAATAGTTGGAACGAAGAAGCTGCTAAACAGATTGAGGACTGCTACTGGAATTTCAAAACGTAAATTCCGAGCAAATAAACAAATTTACATAAGAATGTGGCATATGCAAGCTAAACATGTATTTGAGAAGTACCAAAGCAAACTGAGAAGGCCATTACCAATCACCATGCTTTGGCTGTTTCATCATGAAAGCTTCGAAGTAATTTGGCCCTCCGGATTATCTCATTGGTTTCATCAGTGAACCCTTTGTGGATTAATTCAATAGTTTCAACAGGATCAAGATCAACATGGGAGCATTGTCTGGGACGAAATAAAAGCACTAGGCCACTAGACAAACTAGACAGAACTCATACCCAGCAATGTATACAATGTGAAGCTAATAGGAAGTTCCGAAAAAATGGGATGAGCACTATAGTATCTATCAATGCAAGTATGTACCTAGGCGTTTACCTAAAATTAGCCTAATCATATGGAACTAAGTGAAGATTATATAATGCAGATCCTAGCAATATTGCGAACCAAATTATGCATCCCCAATGTCCAGCATCACTAGTTCATCCGATTTCTTAAGCAGACCCCAAGAGCCAATAGAAGGGATCTTCCGATCCCACACCCACACGAAACCAAAAGGGTACCGCTGCCGCATCGCCTACAGATCCTACCATGGCTAACAACCTGGGAAGGAAAAACAAAATGGGAGACCACACACCTCTGGCGACCTGGGCCTTGTCGCGGAGGTCGGCGGAGGCATAGACGGCCTGGCCTTCGCGGAGAGCAGCACCTAGGAAACCCTCTTCTTCTTCGCGGTCGAGCGTGATGGCGGGGGCCAGGTCGGCCACGCGCACCCGCCACTCGTCGGAGCAGAGCAGCATCGTCACCAGATGCCTAGCAGCGAACCCGCGGCCGCCAATCACCACGCACCACCTCCCATCGCCTCCAGCCGCCTCCATCTCCCTTCCTGTTGTCGCCGTCGCCGTCGCTCAAATTCGAGGCGGATAGAACGGAGGCGGACACGCCATCCGCCTGGCTGCCATCATGGGGCTGCACGCGGAGGAGGCCGATGCGCCATCTGCCACGCGGAGGAGGGAGGCAGCGGATCCGGGGCGGCGCCGACGAGAGGAGAGAGGCAGCGGATCCGGGGCAGATCCTGGGCGGCGCGGGGCAAGGAGGGGAGGGGCCGGGGCCGGCCGCCGGCGGGAGGAGAGGAGGGGAGGGGCCGACCGCCGGCGGGAGGAGGGAGGCGGCGGATCCGGGGCGGAGCGGCGGATCGACGGGAGGCAGTGAGAGGGAGCGGGGGCAAGGAGAGGGCAGCGGCGGCTGGATTTGGGATGGGAGTGGGGGTGAGAAGCATTAGGGTTTGTCAATTGTCACTGTATTTGTGGGCCCACGCTAAAATTTTGCACGCGAACTCAAAGCAAGCAGACGCGCGAGCTCAATGTAAGCCCGACGGGCGAGTTGGGTGGGGGCCACTTCTTTTTAGCGTCAGATAGATTGACGCTATATAATTTTTTAGGGACAGACAGATTGACGCTATACATGATTATCTATAGCGTCAGATAGTAAATCACTAAATGAGGATCCTGCGACAGATCATCTGTGAGATATCTTTAGCGTCAGATCGTCCATCGATAAACAAAATTTTTAGCGTCAGATGTCTGACGGTGTTGCGGTGTTGTGGTGTAGTGCAACTCGGAGGCAAGTTATTATGCAACCCATTGCGCAAAAGCTGAAAAACCTGACTAGCTGCCAACTTGGGGCATTTATAAAAAAACGAGTGGCGACCATAATAATACAAGCTGCAACTTTGGGCGGGGGTGGGCATGAAACTCATAACTCATTTAACACCACGAACTGCATGACCTTGTGTGTGGCAAGTTTAATTTCAAAGCATGTAGCAAGTTATATTTTTTGCAAGTGGCAAGATATCGTGAAATTAAAATTGTAAGAATTATTACTTCCAAAACACATGAAACTCATTACTCATTAAACTGATGGTGACTGAAAAAATAAAACTCATAACTCATTAATATGAAACTAAAAGAAAAAAATTACAAACTGAAAATACTGAAATTGAAAAAAGGAAAATGTGAGTTACTACCATGTAATAATAAAGTTGTTACTCCAAAAAATATACTAAAGTTGTTACATAGTATGCACAAGCTACGGGGGCAAAAAAATATCAAATGATTTACTACCACGTAATACTATAGTTGTTCAACTGTGCGGGCAAATTATTAAAGTAGGCATTGCATAAGCTCTCAACTTGGGGGCAAGTTATTATACAACTAGCTCAAATCTGCTCCTCCTTTCTACTCGAATCTGCCGGCAGTCACCCTCGCTCCATCGATCCAAATCTGCACCCCCTCTTTGCCGATTTGCTCCTCCTCCCCTTAGATTGGCCATTACTCTCCGCACTAAAACACATGCATACAAAAAGTAAAAAACAAAACCAAAATAACTAAAATTACAAAAATGAAAAAAAAACTGAAATTAAACACTGAAATTACAAAACTGAAATTAAAAACTGAATTACATAATGAAATTGAAAACTTGACTGAAAACTAAAACTAAAAAACATGACTGAAAATGAAAACTAAAAAAAATAAAAAAAACTGAAAACTAAAACCGAGGGGCAAATTCTTTTGTGTCAACTTACGTGTGCAATGGCTAGCCTTTTGTAACAAGTTATACATTGTAGGTGAGGCAACTAATATGCATGATTTAGGAAGATATTTGAACCTAAACGGGTGACTGAAATATGAAACTAAAAAAATTAAAAAAAACATGACTGAAAAATTAAAATAAAAAAAGGAAGACTGAAAACTAAAATTTAAAAAAACTCATGCTGGAATTAAATAAACCAAGTATCAAATCTTGTACTTTGGAGCATACAGAGCTACACTGTGCATAAAACAGAGCAAAGTGTTGTTACAGCCTACAGAACCAAACTGCATTTTGCAAACAAGGAAACACTGCACTGCAATCCTGCTGCACCAAATTACACAACATGCAGCGAGCTATAGTTTCAGACAAATGGTGCATTTTCAGCAAGCATTAGCACTAGCAGTATCTGAAAAAAATAATAACAAAAAAAAACTTTTAGCGGTTGCATACAGCAAGCATACAACAAGCTATGGTGCCATCTACTCTTACTTCCATGAAACAGTCTTTCACTGCTGTGCTGAGTACTTTCACTGCAGCATTTTTATTAGAACTGAAAGCAGGGACACCAATCTTAGAAGCAAACTGAAACTTTCTAACTGATAGCAGTATCTGAAATGCACAACGAGTAGTCAAGGAACTAATTTTCATTTCAACAAAGCTGAAATGCAATTTGTTTTATCTCAACTTCAGGTTACTAATTTGTAACTGAAACGAAATTGCTAAATGAAATTAATAACTAAAACTGCAAAAACAAAATTGAAAACTGAAATTGCTAACTGAAAGCACATAATTATAATCAAATTGAAATTGCTATCTGAAATCACAAACTGAAATTGAAAATTGAAATCAAGAAAGACTTGATGAATGAATCAAATTGGGGAAAAAGTTACTTGTTCTTCTTGCGCTCGGGAGCAGGTGACCTTGCACCGCCAGAGGCGGGGAGGGCCGCACCTAGATCGGGAGGCGGCTGATTAGCGAGGAGAGGCAGACGGCCCGATTAGCAATCATGTGGAAACAGATGGTGGCTCGCCGGCCCGAACCGAAAGCAAACAACCAAACCCGAGGGACGAGGACGGGATGGGGATGGATGGAGTAGGACGAAGAGGGAGGGGGGGAGGAGAGGAGCATGGAATGGCATAACGACGAGCTTACCTCACGGGAGCGGGGAGAAAGGAGCAGAAAGGACAGTGTCGGCGGGAGCCGAGCTGAAAGCCCGGCGTGAGAGTGGCGACACGTGCATGGCGTGGAGGAGAGCGGCCGGCGGGAGCAGTGATCCATTGCTAGCGGAGGGGAGCTGACCATCGAGAGCAGCGATCCCCGCACCGAGGGGAGCAGGATTTCTGGGCCGGCTCATCACGGCTTGGTGTCGCGCAATGTAGTCGCAGCGCTACCGGTCGCTTAAAAGACTTTGCGAAAGACTAAGAGCCTCTTTGGCAGGGCTCCTGCTGGAACTTCAGCTTCGGCTCCTGCAGGAACTATGTCAAACGTCTGTTTTAGAAAGGGTTCTGCATGGGGAGCCGGTCAAGAGCCGAAGTCATTTTTTTGCTGTGGCAGAGAAGCCTCAAAAGCGAGCAGCGGCGCGGCTCCTTGCTATGGATTCACGTCATCTAGTGCGAAGGAGCCGTTTTGCTAAACGTTTTCCAGAACGGCTTCAGCTCCTTCAGAGAAGTTAGAGTCGGAGCCATTTTCAGAGGAGCCAGAGCCCTGCCAAACAAGCCCTCACGCTGTATCACGGCTCCTTGAGCTGGAGCATCAGCGCGCAACTCCTCGTGTCACGGCCCACACGGCCAGATGATTACAGCGCACGTTTGACTTGCTGTTGGGCCGGCCTGCTGTAGGATGAGGAAAGCTTAATAAAAGAATACAGCATCCCCTAAAAAAAAAAAGAATACAGCATGGCCACATGAGTGGGACATGGAAAAGATTCAATTTACCTCTTAATTTGGCAGTCATTCGATTTTTCTCCGTAACTATAAACTAGTTCTTTTTACCCTTTATTTTTTCAAAAGCATTTGTTGTTGCACTTTAGGTGGTTTTGATCGTGATTTTGCTGATGTGGTGTCGCGTCAGAGGAAGTAAATTAGACTAAGTTAAAACTTTAGCAGGTAAATTGGACTACACATATTTTTTTAAAAAAACCAAAATTCATAAAAATATTTTTCATAACTTTATCTAAATTAAATGAAAAATAATTCAATTAAAAATCTTAAAATCTGATTTAATCTTAGAAAATTCATTGAAAATGTGTTTTACCTTACAAAAGTATGAAACTAGTTTTAGATTTTTTCTAAAATCGTGCTCTATCATAGGGTGCCTAGCTTGAAATTGTTTGAATATTTATATACTTATTTTGGTGCTTATTTTCTAGTAGGAGCTATCATTATCTTTTATAATTAGTTGAGGTCGATCATCTAGACTATCGGCATGTTCGGTTCATTTGGTTCGTTTCGTTTAGTTCTTTGGTTTGTGAAGAAATCTTCTTTCAATTTGGTTTGTGTGAGAGAAAAATATTGTTCTATTTGGAAATTTACGATCGTTACGACAAGTCACGTACCAAAACGAACAGGATGTATCAAAACACCACTGGAGCATCATGAGGACCATGTGTGGCAGGGTGCATGCAGTCACGTAGGCTAACACAACTACTTTAAAAATTTATCCAAGACATGGAACCAATGTCCACCCTGTCGCACGAACGCTGTTATAGATGGTCATGTAGCCCGTGGCCTGATGGCCCAGCACAGAGCACACTATTTTGGCCCAGCACAAGCACAGTCCGGTCCGATGGAGTAGACCGGCCGCACCCTAGGCACGACAGGCTGGCACGGCACGACCTGTATTTTATGCCAGGCCCGATCAAGGCCCGCTCCCACCCCTCAACCCTAGCGTGTTTCCCCAATTCCCCGTATCCCCGCCCCCAGTCGCCGCCCACCGCTCCCCTTTCCCACGCGCACCGCGACTCCGCGAGCAGCGTCGCGCCTTCACCTCGCTCAATCGTTCCCTCTCTTACCAGTGCGACCCTTCCCTCCCAAGTCTCCACACCGCACCCGCACCCGCACCCATGAGCCACGAATCACGTCGCGCTCGGCTCCCCTTCCCGCGCCGCCCTCGTGAGTCGCGCCCGCTGCCCGCTCCTCCCCACTCGCAGGCCGCAGCCGCCGGGAAGCCCGAGCAGCCGGCGGCACCAATGGAGAAGTCGGCCCGGCATGAGAGGCGCTCCCACTCGTTGCGCAGCTGCCCCGGCTCCAGCTTCGCCAACAGGGAGCTGGTCGGCGCTGGATTTGGT